CTGTTGTTGCTATCTATCTGCACTGAGAACAGAAGACAGGACACTCTGAATACAGAAGTGATAAGAACCCAGGAAGAGGGGCGCCTGGGTGGCTCAGTCGTTAAGCGTCTGCCTTCGGCTCAGGTCATGATCCCAGGGTCCTGGGATCGAGCCCCGCATCGGGCTCCCTGCTCAGCGGGAGGCCTGCTTCTCCCTCTCCCACTCTCCCTGCTGTGTTCCCTCTCTCGCTGTGTCTCTCTCTCTCTGTCAAATAAATAAAATCTTAAAAAAAAAAAAAAAGAATCCAGGAAGAACTTCCTATGAAACTTTTTCCAGTCTTGGAATGATCAAATTAAACAGGTGACCTCCCCCTGGTTAGTTGTAAACAAGAGTTCAGTTATCCAGCCAAGGGCTCACCCTACTAGTTGCCTTTGGGAGGGAATATTAGATTACTTTTAAGTGACTCAGCTATCCCGTCTTTTTCTCCTCAAGGCACTGTTGTTTAGAGTATCCCACAGCTCCTAGACCAGTCCAGTCTAGGATACAGTGTGCACTTAGTGGAAAGGGATTGGAATGTCAGCCTATGGGACTGCATCCCAAATCTGTTTTAAAGACTTTCAGGGGAAGGGGAGGGTCCCTTTCTGCCTCTGAGCCTCAGTTTCCCCATCAATACAAGGAGGCCAGCACAGATCACCTCTAAGCCCTCTGATAGCTATGAACAACAGCCTCTAGCTGGGTTTTCCCTCTGAGGTCCCCTCCTACTGAAGCAGCCCTATTCATTCCTTGGGTAGTGCAGAAGGGTCAGAGGTTATGGCAGGGATTGGGTTCAAATCCTAGATTTGCTGCTTTATCAGTTGGGAGACCCTGCGCAACTCCTGTGCCTTCCTTGCGCCTCAGTTCCCTCATCTGTAAAAAAGCTGACATCACCTTCCTCATAGGTTTAGGTGAGAAAATGGGCCTGGCCCTCGGCTAGCGCTTGCTAAATGGCTGCCGAAATTATTTGTGAGCTCTTAACATACAGTGCGTGTATCTCAGTGTGGGGCAGCAGCTGCGGGGAGGGAAGGGTCAATGAGATCGTTAACCTGGACTGGGTTCAGTTCAAGGGGTGACAGTTCCATCTTGGTGGGACTTTTCAGAGTTGAGGTCAGCTAAGGCTTGAAAGTCTCTAGCACTAAGACCAGTTCTAGAAGAGCAGAGCGAAGAGGACACTGGCTACCCTTCCGGTGTCACTTCTGGCCTTCACTGTGCCTCTTCTTTTAAATCTCCAGAACGGGGGCACCTGGGTGGCTCAGTCGGTTAAGCGACGGACTCTTGGTTGCGGCTCAGGTCATGATCTCATGGATCAGAGCCCTACATCGGGCTCTGCACTCAGCAGGGAGTGTGCTTTAAGATCCTCTCCCTCCGCCTCCCCCACCACCCCGCCACTCACTCAGTAAATAAATCTTTAAATCTCCGGAATGGCACTGACCAACTAGAACAAAGCTGGCGGTGAGGGTAAGCCAGATGTTCTGCACACTTATCACAGGCCTCACCCCTGGACCCCAAGTAAAGGTGGCACCAGACAGCCAAGGATATGGCAAGAAGAGGGAAATCTTTATTTCGGTTAAAAAAGGTACAGGACAGCAGACAAGCAGCCCCCGGCCGTGGACTCAGCCGATTTCCTAGGCCCAGCCCAGTTTCCTTTAGTTCCTCTAAAGAACGTGGGGCTGTCAGAGCTAGCTCACTCCCTCAGCGCCTGGGGCAAAGGGCACAAGCATCCTCCTTGCATCTTACGTACTTGGGGTAGTGGGGATGGAGGGGCCGTGGGAACAGTGTCAAACCGGTTGTGCTTAGAACAGTCACCAGACTTGTTCAGCAGCGTCATCAACCACCAACACCCCAGAGGCTCCTGAAGAAACCTGCTCAGCTCCACTATGGCTATGCCTGATTCTGGGAGGGGGCAGGCTGTAAGGCCAGATTCCTGAAGAGTCTTGACACCTTACGGATCTGGAGAAGGGGACGGGAAGTGGAAAAGGGGGCAAGTTTCAGCATAGTATTATATCATTGTGCTGGCAGCTGCGTTATGGCTTTCTACACTCTGGCTGGCATGGAGTGGGGGTGGGGGCAAAGAGGCCAGCCCCTGCCCCCTTTTGGGGGGGCTCTGGAGAGCATACGTGGGGGGCAGGCTTGGGGGCAGACCCTGTAGGCACAGACGGTGGCAGGTGGGCCACAGGTTAGGCAGGTGGAGGTGCCGGGTGCCTGGCGCCCCTCAGGCCGCTCCTGGAGAGGCAGAGGGCAGCGGTCCTCAGGAGGTCCTTAAGCCCCCGCACACACTGGAGATCCCAGCAGGACGGCAAAGAAGGAGAAGAGACAGGGTTAGCAGGATTGGGAAGAGAGAGGAGGCCTGCAGGGGCGCTGGCGGGGACAGGTGCTACCCCAGCACCTGCCTCTTCCCCCACAGAAGGGCCGAGGCTTGGGCGGCAGGCAACGAAGCAGGAGAGAAAACGGGCGGGTGAGAGCTCAGCAGGGACAGAAAGCCAGGACCCAAGTGTTAGTGACCGAGGGCTCCTGCACACCAGGCCACCACCAGAACAGGCCCAAGGCGCTCAGAGCAGGTACGCCTCCCTCTGCCCAGCCTCGCCCTTCACCTCCTGCTCCAGTGGGAGAGCTGCTCTGTGTGAAGCTACTTCCTCAGTCCAGAGCAGGGCTGGGCTCTTAGCCCTGCCCTCACGCCCCGATCCTTCTGTTTGGGGGGGGAAGCCCTGGCGGCCCTACCACCGCCAGCACACACACCACACCACACACCAGACAGATGAATGGGCTCCATGGGGTTGGCAAGGCATGCGATGAGCATGAGATGGTGTGTGAGGGGAGCGGGCAGTGCTGGCTGACAGGGGAGGTACGGTCTTACCAGCTAACCCTCTGCAAAGAGGCCTGTTAGCTCCCCTCAGGCTGTGCAGGAGATGGCAAAATCCTGACAGGTGTCCTCCTGGGGGAGATACCAGAGAGGCGGGCCAGGGTTATGAGTTGTCTGGCTGGGCCCTGCTGCCCAGGTGGGGCTGGGGGCCAGGGAGGCTCTGGCTCACAAACTGGAATCTACTGTCTCAGAAACCTTTTCTTAGCTGGGCAGTCCCTGGGGGGTCAGAAACACAGCAAGGAAAGAGAACTTGGGAGTCTCTAAGTCCCTGAGGCAGGGGAAAGTAGAGGGGACAAAGAGGGGACAGGATGGCCTCTTCTTACATGCTCATGGGGGCCTCGCCCCCTTGCTCGGCCTCCAGCACACAGACTCAGCCAGGAGAGGAGAACGTTAGCCATATCACTGGGCTTCCTGCCTTCTGCCTCCCCAGGAAAGACCAAGTTTGGCTGAAAGAACAGAGGGCTGCCAGTTGGAGCCTCAGCAAAGAAAGAGCAAACAAAAACCAAACGAAAGCAAATCAACTCTTAAAAACAAAAATTTTATTACAAGCAGGAACAAAGAATACTGGCTTAAATAAAAGGCAGGTGGGAGTCCCCTCCTCTAGCCAACTCCCTCCCCACTTCCCAGTACCGCTGTAGCATGGCCCAGGGTCCTGACACTAGGGCAGAGCTGCTTCTCCCAGAAGGGACCCTCTGGGACTGCCATTTCTCAGCTGCCTCTGACCCGCTAGCCTCTGCAGCAAGGAAGGGCAAGATGCTTTCCCAGGGCTTCAGGCCACCTGAAGGGCCGAGGAGGGGGACAGAACAATTTCCTATTTTGACAAGAAGCTACAGTTTCCAGCAGAGAAGGGACATCCTTTCAGTTTCTGGCCCAGATTTAGGCCGACCTTCACTCGCCTCTTGGACCACCCTGCTCTTTCCTCCCTTTTCTCTGGACGGAGTCTTCCAGTTGGCAGAGACTCCCTGTCCTCTAGCCACTGGCACTAGGTCGCATACTCAGAGCCCAGAGGAGAGAGTGTGGCTTGTAGAATGGCAGCCGCTCCCCCCAGCCATTACCCCATCCGCCACGCCCAGCCTCAGCCTGTCTGGGCAAGTCCCAGGCTTCCTAATGTCCGAGGAAAGGAAAGGCAGGAGAATGGGGGCTGAGCTGCAGTGGCAACCCAGGGGTCTCGTGATCAAGGCACGGGCTCCCTGTGGCCACAGCTCAGGCTGCTCCTGCTGCTGCTGCTGGCTGACACCCGAGGCGGATGACGGGGAGAGGGGCAGCCCAGGGCATGTAGGGAAGTGGGAGCCAGCCACATTCGTACAAGGGCACATGCGAACACACACACACACACTCTCTCTCTCTCTCTCTCTCTCACACACACTCCCCAGCCAGAAGTTCTCATAAATTTATTAAAACCAACTTGCCTTCTGATAATCCTTAACCTGGCACTACACAGAGAGCAATGTGGCTGACTTTTTTTTTTCTTCTTCCATTTAAAAAATGCTATGTAGAAAAGAGGTCTATAAAATTGTGCAAAATACCCAGCATTAATAAACCCGTTTCAAGTATTGCCAGCATAAGTGTAACCCGCCCAGCCCAAGAACGGACTTGGGAGAGAGGTGGGGGGCCAGACTGGGATCCCTTAGAGAACCCTCCATGGGCAGCGAGGGGGCAAGGCCCCCACTTCCTAGTGTCCTGCCCAGGAATCGTGCAGGAGCTGAGGTCTTGGGTAGCTTCCTCTGACACAGGCTGTCCCCCACCCGCCCCCACCTCTGCCCTTTCTGTCTGGAACCCCAGCTCTATCCTATTGGCCAACCCCATACAAAAAACAAGAACAAAAATGGAAGAACAATGATCATCACAAAGAGAATGAAGGAGCCCACAAACCAAAGCAGCCCACGGAGGAGGCATCCTCTCCTATAGACTGCTGTCCAGAGCCGAATGCTCATGGGTCCCGCTTCACCCCCAGGACCTGGGCTGAGCAGAGCCCAGCAGCTCCCCGACCTGGGAGGCATCGCACTCAGTCGGCACCCTCACTCACACAGGGCTTGCCCCGGCACAGGCAGAGACTTGGCATGGTCCCCTCGCGGCCTCGGGGGCCCTGGCCTCTCCCTCCTGTCACTCCTGCCACTGATCAGCTGGGGGGATCTAGGGCCCAAGGCTGTGGGAACTTGGGTTTGGGGAGCAGAGGGTACAGCCATGGAGGTGTGGGGAAAGCCACGCAGGGTGGGAAATAAATACGAAAGAGTCTTTGGCGGCTCTGCTTCCCGTGGGTGGAATGGGGAGGATCCCGGCAGGTGTGGAGGGCGGCAGGTGAGTGCAGAGGGGTGGACAGGCCAGCAGGTGGCAAGTACTGAGCCCAGTTCAGGGGTGGCCTCCTACCATGCTGGCGTCGGGCTTGGCTCCGCAGGCTGGCTCATCGCTTCTGACAGGCGAGGGCAACACGGTGTCAGACTGCACAAATCCCCTTCGGTCAATCAGGCTTCCAAAACACAAGAGGGGACACGTGAGGGCCCCCGCCCGACACCAGTGATCCAGGCCAGGGGGCGAATGGCACAGGCCACTTCCCAGCCAAGGAAAGACCCAGTCCTAGAAACCCTGAGAGAGGGGAGTTGATCTCCAGTTGGGGGCTCAAGACCCTTCCCTTCCAGAAGGGCCCGCTCTGCACTCTGGACAGCTGGTTTGGGCCACTGGATTTATTCACTGTTAATTCAAAGCGGCCCATTTTGCTGTCTGGCTGCCACAGAGCCAGGCTGTGGGGAAGGAGAAGAGCAGGATGAAAGGGCGTTTGGAAATAGTGCAATGCCCACTGTCACCCACCCCCACCCCCATGGCAAGCATGACGGGCATATCAGGCAGGAGAAGCTGGTGGGGTGGGGGTGGACAGTGTGCGGTTCCCGCAGGGTCCACCGCAATTTAACAGCTGTTCTGGCGCTCGGGCGCCCCCTGGTGTGCAGACAGGGGGCACTTCCCTGCAGATCTGAGTCACCAGGGCTCTCCCGCCAGGAGGGAGGATGGAGACCACACCCCACCAGGCCATCAACACCAGAAGGGCAGAGTTGCTCAAGCGTGGCCAAAACAGTAGCTGTGGTGATCCCTGGGGAATAAGATTACAGGTGATATCTAATACTCTTCTTAATATTTTGTACTTATTTTTTTTTCTACAATGAGCATATGTTATTAACAATTACACAGAATTCTTTTATGTGACAAATGCCTTGAGTACACTCTGCAGGGGATGGTGGGCAGAGGGTCTCCGTGGTGTGAGGAGAGGTCTGCTGCTTCCAGAACCTCTTTGAGAGGTGTGGACTCACCGGGCTGCCCTGCACTAGCCAGGCCAGGCCCTGGGACGTCTCGCCGCTACCCCTGGCTTACCTGGGAGGTAGGGGGCCGCAGAGCACAGCACAGCAGTTGGTGATAACACTTTTATGGCTGTAGGGATTGATGGAGGCCTCACCGCCCCTCTTGCTGGACCACGAGCCTTTGATCTGCCAGCAGGAAGGAGGTCTGAGTCAGGTACCTCCCTTTGCTTCCATTTTTTAGGAGGGAGGTCTAGAGGCTGGAAAAAACTGGTGAATTCTGAAACCAATTCTGGATAGACTATTGGAGGGGATATGTCTTTATCCCGGGCTATTCAGCGAGTATGGGGGACTGCTGGATGTGGGGGGACCTGGCAGAGAGGAAGAAGCCCTCATCAGGACAGAAAACAGAGAAGCCTCCAAAGGCAACCTTTTGGGTGCATCCTCTCTTCTCTGGCCAGCCACCTACGAGTGAAGGTCGTGCAAGGGGACAGGGCTCAGGCTGTTCTGGCTGTGAACCCTGGCCCTGCCACCGACACACTGACGACCCTGGAGAGGCCACTTCTCTGAATCTCAGTCCTCATTTGAAAAATAGGGAACTCTGACACCATCAGTGGAGCATTCGATGAAATCCTGCCCATCTCGAGATCTGCGAAGTCAGCTATCAAAGGCACCGGGGAGTTTAGCAAGGAAGGATACCTGCTTGACTTTAACCCAGAGTTTTCCAAACTTACTTGGCCATCACACATCTTTTTACCTAACCCCTACTAACATGCTGAAGAACTAGCACCCATGAAACCGCCTTGGCAGACGCTGGCTGATGTCATTTCTGCTCTGTACCAATCATCCAACACATGATACCCCAACACGAGTGCTAAGTTTTGTCTCCCGGAATGAGAGGCTGAGGTCAAAAAATGTGCTTTGTGTTGGTCATGGGCCTCTGAGCATATGTGATGGCGGCCGAGGCACAGATGCTCTCATGTGCTTCCTTATTGTTTGCGAGAACAGAAAGGGGAGGTCAGGTCTGGCCCATGGGCTGGGCACACAGGGGGTGCTCAAACAATGCTTGCTGGTGGAGGGCTGCCAGACAGCCTCCCGGTCCTGTCCTCGCTGTACCCTCAGTAAGGGAGCCTGGGGCCACCCTGACAATCTCCGAGTGTAGTGTGGTGGGGGGCACAGCAAGCTTAGCTATGGCTTCCAGCCATAGCCCTGGCTCTGTCCCTTTCCAGCTGTGTGACCTTGGGGTTCACTCAGCCATCAAACGGGAGAAAAGCATCCCTTTCCCTTCTGCTTCAGAGTTGGCAAAAGGACCCCAAAAGAACTCTGGAAACAGTCACACGCTCTCTAATGTAATGGCTTATGGTGCAGCACTGCCTCTGGGTTAGCGAGAAAGCCCGTGCCGAGGGGCCCAGGCATGCGGGGGGCTCAGGGCCAAGCCGTGAGCGCTGGAAGGCAATGTCTCCACCCGTGTTACCCCAGCAGCCGAGAGTCAGGCTGCACTGTGGCTGCTCCAGGCTCCCTCAGCCCTGCCTCCCTCCCAGGACCCTGCCCAGGGTATAAGGGGTGGCTCCAGCCTTACTCACGTCTTCGTTAGTTGTCAGGTTGGAGGCGACGAGGTAAGTATGAAACCCTGAGAGGCCCAGGATGGACCAGATGGAGAAGAAGCAGATCACCAACTCCAGCACAGTGAGCACGGTGGTCAAGGATGCACACGGGGACAGGGCCGGGAGCCTCCCTTGAGCCTGGGAGCTTGCCACGCTCTGCCTTTCTCACCTACCCTTCCATGAGCTACTTCCGCAGAAAGGAAGGGAGTTTGTAACCTTCCTGCGGCCCACTCACCACTTCTCAGCAGGATCACCTCCTGGGCCCTAAGGAGGGCTTGGGAGCCCCTTCAAGAGCAGGACGGGTGATGGACAGTAGAGGGAAATGAGGATTCCAGGCACCCAGAACCCCATACAGACATGGTCCAGGGAGCTTGGTGTCTTAAGGGAAGACAGGCACTGTAGGACTCCTGAGAATTCTTGGCCACCCCAGGCCCCTGCTCAGGCCACTTAGGATCAGTTCTAGCCCGGGCAGGAACAGAAGCAGCTGGTACAGTGGATTATTCTTGAGGACAAACACTGGCTCTACACCATTCCCCTCTGTTTATAGGAGGCGTGGGAACCCACCCCAGTGAAGGGGGGCCTTGCTCCCACCAGGGCATCCACCAGATGACAAAGGATATCTTGCTGGTGTCTCCTTCAGAGTGGAGAGAAAGTTGCTTCCCTGAGAGCCTGGGCAAGAAAAAACAGGACAGGGAACAGCTCGGAGGGAGAGTGACCACAGCCCCCTGACTTGAGCCTGCTGGCCCCCCCATCCTGCTTGCCCCTGACCCCCACCCCAACTCACGCAGCGTCAGGTGGGTGACCACACAGGCGAAGATGAAGGCCGTCAGGAACGAGAGGGAGAGAATAAACGCGTAGAAGAAGCGGTAGTTCCGTCTCCCCACACAGTTGCCCACCCAAGGACAGTGATGGTCAAACCGTTCTGGAAAAGGGCCAGGGGAGATGGGTTAGCGTGCCTGGCCTGCGACCAGCACAGGTGTTCAGAGGCCTCACGCCACAGCTGGGGCTTTCCTCCCTGCCATGCTCTCTGCACTCACCCACCCACTCACAGTTCCTCGGACGCTCCCTGCTTCTGGACCTTTGTGCACAGGTTCCTACTGCCTCATATTCGCTGTCTCTTCACCTGGTTAAAGGTAATTCCCCCTTCATGTCTCAGCTGCAAAGCCACTTCCTTAAAAAAGCCTCTGATCTCAGACAAGGTGAGGGCCCTCTGTTATCTGCCCCGTTCCTTATCTTCTGCAGCTCTTCGCCCATGTGTTACATAGTTATTTATAACTAGTGGCCTGGCCAAGGACCCCTGCTCAACTGTAAACTCCACGAGGGGGCCTGTTTTGGCCTCACACTGAGCTGAACCCTAGGGTCCAGCAGTGCCTGGTACAAAGATCCACAAAAAAAGTACTTGTTGCCTGGCCTATGACCCTGGCCACATGCCAACCACCAAGGATCCCCATTCCTTGCTCTAGAACTAGAGGCCCAGGGAGGGGCTGGGCTGCTCTGTCACTTGCGGAGAGCTGGCATGAAAGGCCCGGATCACACCCAGACTGATAAGGAAAGTCCTCTGTGAGAATATGGATCACAAGCCCATTGCAGGCCTCACACCATGGCCAGCACTCTTCACAGGGCGGGGCGGGGGGGTGTGTGTGGATCCTCAGGGATGAATAACACTGAGTCACCCACTTCCCTGCCTACTGTCATGGGTGTTCCCTGCTGTTCTCTCACTCGGGGAGTGCTGAGCTAGTGTGATGAGCTCACTGCCTGGGGACCATGCACAGTCACCATGGCTCAGCTTGCCTGGGTCCTCTTACATAGTATTTCCCTTATGACACCCTCCCAGGGGCACACCCTCAGTCCCCATCAGGGCTGTCTGGCCTCTGGCGAGCCAGAAGAGGAGACAAAACAGTCTCTGGTTCCCCAGCAACCACTGCAATTGTGGGTCAGGAGCTTAGTTTCCAATCCTGGCTACATCCTCTTCACCTTACCAGCTTGAACTCCTCTGTTCCCAGATTCTTGTCCCTCCCAAACCCTGGGAATCAGACCAAAGACATTCAGTATAGCTGGCCCTGGGCCACTGGATGATAAATCATTCTCTTTCTGACCCAAATGTATCTAGAATGTTATTGCTCCAGTCTCTGGTTCCTGGAAACTTGGACCTACTGAGAACCAGGCTGAGGCCTGGAAGAAGGGTCCAGGGCCTCTCTGTATCTGCCCCATACTTCAGAGCTGGGGGAAAGGAATCTACCAATCCTGGGCTGAAGCCAAGATAGCACTGGTCACACTCTGCGCCTCTCCCTATAGCCCCTCCTCGGTCCGAGCAAATTTGGGTGAAGCAGACTTCCTGCCCAGCTCTGGCTGATTCAGACACAGCCCCATCCCCATGAGTGACTCCCCTGTCTCCAGGGCTCCCTGCATCACTCCCTGCTGCCTCCCACTTACCCACACAGTTGTCACAGACACTGCAGTGTGAGGTCCGTGGCGGCCGAAACATCTTGCAGGTGAAGCAGTACTTCAACTTGACCATCTGCCCGTTGATCATCACTTCCCGGGTCCGAGGGGGTGGCCGGTATGTGGAACTGCCTGTGTTATCTGAGGGCGGGAGGAGAGGGAGATGGGGGATCTTTGAGCCCGGAGCCAAGAGCCCCACCTGGGGAGAAGTCACTGCTCCCTAGCAGGGACAAGAGAAGCCTTCAGGAAACCGCTTCCTGGGAATAAGCCACTGGGATAAAACGCAGGCCCAAGGCGGGGACAACTATGAAGATCTGCTACCGCCTACCAAAACTTGCTGTGTGCCAAGCCCTGTGCTAAAGCTTTACACACCGGCTCACACCCCGCCGGTCGTGTACAACTTTGAGAAGGAGACCCTGGGAAGACTTAGGGAGGTTTATCTGAATCTAGTCAAGCCCGAGCTAAGTTCCAGTTTCCAGGAGGTTCAGGAGATGGAAGGACAAAGTAAACAACACTATGAGAACGCAATCAGATCCAGAATGTGGGATGCCTACAAGACCACTGGCCTGATCTCTAACAAAATCAATGTCACTTACAAAGAGAGGGAGATGGCTCTAAATTAAGAGACATGAACAAATGCAATGCATGATCTTAGATTGGAGCCCGTTTTGAAAAGCAAAACAAAACACAGCAACAAGAAAGACATTTGGCGGGAAACTGGGGAAAAAGGAATATAGGTTAGAAATCTGGGAGCTATTAATTTTCCTAGCTGTAATAATGGGATTGTGGTCATGCAGGAGGCTGTCTTTAGATTTTATTTTATTTTATTTTTCTTTTAAAGATTTTATTTATTTATTTGACAGAGAGACAGCGAGAGAGGGAACACAAGCAGGGGGAGTGGGAGAGGGAGAAGCAGGCTCCCCACTGAGCAGGGAGCCCGATGCGGGGCTCAATCCCAGCACCCTGGGATCGTGACCTGAGCCGAAGGCAGACGCTTAACGACTGAGCCACCCAGGCGCCCCGGCTGTCTTTAGATTTTGAAGACACATGTTGAAGTATTTATGGATAAAGTGTCTATAATGTCTATAATTTACTATGAAATGGTTTACAAATTATAAGCATAGGGGCGTCTGGCTGGCTCAGTCAGAAGGGCATGTGACTCTTGATCTCGGGATTGTGAGTTCTAGCCCCATGTTGGGTGTAGAGATTCCTTAAAAATAAAATCGTTAAAAAAATTAAAGAAAAAAGAAAGAAATTATAAGTATACATGGTATAAATAAGAGACACTAATAACTATTTAATCTAGACAGTGAACATGTAGAAATTCATTGTATTTTCCCACTTTTCTGTATGTTTGAAATTTTTCATAATAGAAATTTTAAGAGGAAAAGAAATGCAAAAATATATTGTATTCACAGATTAAAAGACTCAGCATTAGAAAAGGATTTATTCTCCCTAAATCAATCTGTACATCAACATAATTCGAGTCAAAAATCCCAGTAGGGGGGCGCCTGGGTGGCTCAGTTGTTAAGTGTCTGCCTTTGGCTCAGGTCATGATCCCGGGGTCCTGGGATCGAGCCCCGCATCTGGCTCCCTGCTCAGCGGGAAGCCTGCTTCTCCCTCTCCCACTCCCCCTGCTTGTGTTCCCTCTCTCGCTGCGTCTCTGTCAAATAAATAAATAAAATTAAAAAAAAAAAAAATCCCAGTATGGGCCGCCTGGGTGGCTCAGTCGTTAAGCGTCTGCCTTTGGCTCAGGTCATGATCCCGGGGTCCTGGGATCGAGCCCCGCATCAGGCTCCCTGATCCGCGGGAAGCCTGCTTCTCCCTCTCCCTCTGCCCCGGCTTGTGTTCCCTCTTTTGCTGTGTCTCTCTGTGTCAAATAAATAAATAAAACCTTTTTTTTCCCAAAGATTTTATTTATTTATTTGAGAGAGAGAGAGAGAGAGAATGAGAGATAGCGAGCACGAGAGGGAAGAGGGTCAGAGGGAGAAGCAGACCCCCCCGCTGAGCAGGGAGCCCGATGCGGGACTCGATCCCGGGACTCCAGGATCATGACCTGAGCTGAAGGCAGTCGCTTAACCAACTGAGCCACCCAGGCGCCCAATAAATAAAATCTTTAAAAAAAAAAAAAATCCCAGTATGATTTTTGGGGGAGATGAAATTGACAAATTCAATCTAAAATTTATACAGAAATGCAAAGAGCCATGAATAGCCAAGGCATTCTTGAAGGAAAAAGCTAAAGGACTCACATGACTAGATCTCAAGACTAATGATAAAACTCTAGTACTTAAGAAGGCCTGGTTTGGGTGCAAGGGTAGAAATGCTGATCAATGGAACAGAAAAGAGAATCCAGAAACAGACCTGACATGTACAAGGGGGAGGGAGGGTCCTAGGACACTGCTCATATAGTGTTTCTTGAACTGGGTGCCGATTATATGTGTGTGATTGGTTTGTGAACACTCAACAAACAGAACACTTATGATTTGTACACATCTTGTAAGCCCATTATTCTTCAGTGAAAACTTAACAAAAAGAGGTTTAAGTAACTTGTCCGAGGTCATGAAGCTCAGATGCAGGTAAACAGGAATCCGAACCCGGGTCTGCCATGTGCAAAAGCCCACAATTCTACCCACTGAGCCTCTTGGTCCCCCAGACCTCAAAGGACCAGAGTCCCCAAAGCAGTGGCTCCTTCCTGGACAGAATTCTGACAGTCCCATGAGGCTGCTTATGATCCCCAGCCCTTAGCAATGTTCCCAGCTGTTGCTTCTACTGAATCCACTCCCCAGACAGCATCTCTAGTTTGGCCATGTGCCTCCAACAATAACTTACGGAGTGCCTACCAGGTGCCAGGCACTATTCTAGGCGCCTGGCATGCACCGATGAAGCAAACGGACTTGGGTCTCACATTCCAGTTACCAAACAGACTCTTGCTAGGCTGTTCACCATCACCCCAACCACCGTGTGTTTAAAATGGAGCTCAGCACCCGAACGTTTCTTCTTTAAAACCGGCAGCAGGGTAAAGGGCAGGGGGTGTGAGGTCAGTGGACACACTCTGAAACCTGGTTTTGCCAGACTTGCTGAAGTCAAGTGAACTTCTCTGAGCCTCGGTTTTCTCACCTGTAAGATGGAAGGAACGGGTAGAACGGAGCATGAATCCTCCCGGCTCCACCTCTTACTAGCTGGGCTTCTCCTAACGACAGCATACGCTAGATGTCCGACCAGACAAATCATTTAATCTCTCTGTGCCTCTGTTTCCTTGATCACTGAAATGGGGATAATAACGGTACCCCCAACATAGGGTTGTTGTGAGGGTTAAATGAGTTAATATACATTAAGTGGCACAAAGTAAACGCTCAAGAAGCGCACAGAATTATAAAGAGAAAGAAAGGAAGAGACAAGCAAGAGGAAACACTTCACTGAGCGCCGACTATATGCTGAGCACGTTGCATACATTATCTTCTTGAACCCTGAGAACATCCCAGGAGGTAAGGCTATCATTACCACCTCTAGGTCACAGTTAAGGAGACTTTTCAGTGAGGTGAAGTGACGTGTTCGAGGCCACTCCCAGCTAGGAAGTGGCAGAAACTAGATGTGAACCCAAGTTTCCAAAAACTTGGGTTTGAGGTCTTTTTTAAAATTTAAAGTGTCATAGTGAGTGTTATTTAACTCTGCCTGGTTCCTTATTTCTGCCAGTGGCACAGTCCAAGAGCTGGAAAGAACCTCAAAGAACATATAACACAGCCCCTAGCACAGAGTGAACACTTGAAAATTGTCCCTTCACTGCCTGCTTCTCTTCTAACCTCTTCAGTTTACAAATGAGAAAACAGGCCCAGAGAGGTTAGGGAAGTTCCCCAAGGTCACAGAGTCAGCGAGTTGCAGAGGCAGGGAAACTCCGTTTGGAGACCCTTTGCAGACTCTTCCTTCTCCCTTACCCCTTCATGGCCAGTCGCTAGGCCTCGTCAGGATCTTCCTTCATAATCTTTCACTTTCCTCCCAATGCCCTAACCCAGGCCAGCCCCTATTACCAAACAGCTTCCCCAGAAGGCTCCCTGCTCCCAGCCCCTCTGCCTTCCAACCTCCCTTGCACACACCACCACATTTCTCTAAATAACCCCTTTTGAATTACAACCCTTCACTGGCCTCCCCTAAAAACCAGATAAAGGACAACTTCCTGTCCTGATACCAGGACCTTCCACAATTGGGCCCGACCTCTGCTCCCGGCTTTTCTCCCACCACTCTTCCCCGAGGCCCTGTAGCTTCAGCTTCCTGCCCCTGTTCCGACCAAGCCCTGGCCCCTGCCTTCTCCTTGCTCACCAGGACTCTCCTGCTCCCTGTCCAGTCTTCCAGAAGCTTCTCCGAGCACTGCTGCCATGAGGGCTCTTGTGCCTCACACACAGCGCCTGCTCCCTGCTGGGCTGTGACGGGGCTGCTGTGTGCGGGGCGCTGTCTCTCCCCCTAGACCGCATGCCCCCTGAGGGCAGGGATGGTGGGATAAACAGGGCAGTCCCAGGCCTGTGAACCATCAGGGAGCAGGCAAAGAGGAGAGAATACATGCTGTGGACTCGGGCAGGCCTAGAGTTCAAATCCTGACCCTTCCATTCACGAGCTAGTGCCGTCAGGGAGGTGACTGAACCTCCGTGAGCCTGCGGTTGCAGGTGAAAAAGCAGACAAATAACAACAGGCTGGAAGGCTTATAGAAGGATCAGAAATAGTACCTGGAAAGGAACTGGCGCTTGGTGAGTACTTATTCACAGCTGTGCTGGCATGGGCTCTGGAGTCTGCAATACCAGGTTTGAAACATGATTTTGCTACCCACTCGCTACCGAAGGAAGTCCCTTCACCTCCTGGAGCCTCGGCTTCCTCATCCGTCAAATGGAGAGAAGACAGTCTCAGACTCAGGATTGTGGCGGGTGCTCAGTGCGATGGTGCAGGACAGCCCTGAGCACGGGGCTAGATTCACAGGAGCCTTGGTCCTGACACACAGTTCACGTTGGGACACTCCAGCTTGCAGAATTCTCCACCTCTTTCCAAAACTCTTGATGCTACTCCAAATCCAACCTGTAACCCTACCCCATGGGCCCCAGGTCCAGCTCTCGTCCCTGCCCACTGCTGGCTTCCAGGCTTGGACACAGGCTTTGAAG